CAGGAGTGGGCCGGTCTGCAGCAGACCCCCAGGGAGGGATATAGGGGGCGGGCGGGGAGGGGTCCGGATTGACACTGGACTTGCTCTTGGGGAAGGGTAGCGGGAGGTGGCCAGGACGCTGGGCCTTGGGCCCGGATGTAGGGGTGGAGGGACGCATGGTACAGGGCAATGACCGCCAGACAGACTGAAGCTGGGGAGCCCGAGACCCCCAGGGAGGCACGTGGAGGGAAACAGGTACGGAGCTGCCAGGGGTGGCAGCCCAGGGGCCCGAGATCCCCCTCATCCGCACATGCCTGGCACACAGCCCGGAAGCAGCGGACATTTGTTAACCAACCCCTGAGAGCTGTGGCCCAGATGGCACTCCGTGGCAGGCCAGGCTGAGGCCTCAGAGCTGGCCCTGCCCGGCTGGCCTGGAGGCCAGCAGGTCCAGGGGCTGCGGACTGCCCACTGGCCTCAAGCCCCACCCTGCCGTGCAAGTCCTTTCTGTGTGTGCTGAGCACCTACTCTCTGCCTGGAGCAGCCACAGGACGCCATGAGCCAGCCCCCTGCCCCCACGGGACTTGCACACACACCCAGCATCCCACACACCTCTGACTCAGGGCATTTTCCCACCCATGAAGGCATCGGGCTGGGTGTTGGCCGCCGTGGGTCATGGATGAGGCCTCTGGTGACCGGGAGAGGGTGCTGCTGCCCAAGGTCACACAGCAGGCTGGTCCTGCCTGGGCTGATCCAATGGCTGCCAGACTTCAGGCCGAGGAGAATTCTGGCAGGTCCCCGAGCCTGTCCCATCTGGGCTCTGGCGGGAGGTAAATAAAGGCACCATCTCAGCAAAGTCGCAAGGGTTGGGACAGAACAGGGACACTGTGCTGGGACCAAGCAGTTGAGGGGCAATCTGAGAGGGCTCCCTGGAGGAGGTGAGGGACCCAGGGTCCTGCCATGGCCCGAGTCCCTCAGTACCCAACCCCTTTCTTTGATGGGCCCCTCACCCATCAGCTTCAGCCTCAGCCTGACATTTCCCGTGACATTTGCTGCAAAGAAATAGAGCCATAAACCCAAAGGTTAAATTTGCACATTGCCTTGCTGCCAGGAGAGCACAGTCCCTCCGCCCACCAGGTGTGTGGCTGCAGGGCTTGTGTGGGATGGCCTCCCCTCCCTGGGGCCCTGGGTGGGGGCCCCAAGGTCCCCCTCCCAGCCCTTCCATTGGACCTCAGCCACCGGTTCCCAAAGCGGGCTCCTGGGCACCGCAGGCCCTGAGTGTGCTACACAGGGTGCCCGTCAGAGGGGCTCTGCCCATCCGACGCCGTGCAGTAAAGAAGTTCCATCAGCACCTCCTACCCAGCCAGTCCCAAACCCACCTGACCACCAAACGCTCGTCCAGTCCCCCAACGCTCCGTGGAGCCAAGATCCCCTGGAGCCTGTTCTGTGATGGCGTTGGGCCAAGGAGCACCCTCCCCCCTCGGGGGCACCAGGCAGCTGCCTGAACAAAGCTGAGTCAGCTCGGGACACCCCGCTTCCTGTCCCGGGCTCCCCTTGTCAGCATGGGCCTGGCTCCACATGCCAGGGCCCAGTTGGGGCTCGCCACATGCCCGGTGTGAGTGCGGCCACCTGGCTCCTTCAGCTCCACCTCTGGGTTAGGGTGGGCAGGGGAGAGGCCGGCCCATGGCGCCGGGGGCACCAGGGCTGGACCAGGTTGTGGCCAGCAGGCCCAGGCGGGGCCTGAGAGGCCCTAGGAGCCCAGCTTGGGGCAGGGCAGGTGGGCGGGGCTTGGCCAGGCCCCGCCTCCTCTCGGGGTGGGGGGCGGCTGGTGGTGCACGGTCACACCCCCCGGCCCCTGCATGGTGTCTGCACCTGGTCTCCGTGTCCTGATGCACAAGGGGCCGCGGTGAGAGACCAAGGCCGCTTAGGACACACGACTGAAGGCAGGTCCTCGGAAAGGGCTTCACCCTCACCCGTACACCCAGACACACAGGAGCGGGTCCCATCGTGCGCAGAGTTTAATATACAGTGACCAAGGAAGAAACTGCAGCAGAAGACGCCCGGCCAGGCCCACAGGCTCCAGCGATGGTGGAGATGCAGGCTGTGGGTGCTGCCCGCCCTCCGGCCCGGGAGGATGCTTCCAGCTCCGTGGTCACCTGTCCTTCAAAAGCGTTCAGTCCTAGCAGCTCAAGACGGGCAAGGGCCACGGTGCTCAGCTGCCGGGCTCAGAGGGCGTCTGACGGCCAGGAGAGCCAGGGAGCCAGTGAGGGACCACCCAGGGGCAAAGGCAGGACCTGGGGACCGGCCGCTGGGAGGCGAGGAGCGGGTGGGCCTGGGGGTCGGAGGTCAGGGCACACAGACCGTGCAAGCCAAGAGCAGTCAGGAAGGCCAGGACGGGGCCGGGGGTGGGGGAGCCACTCACACCTACCCCCGACTCCCAGAGACACTCCTAGTCTCCCCTCGGGCTCCTGACCCCCTGTGCATACACAGACTGAAGCTCTGTGGGGACTTTCTGGCTACAGGCCCAGGAGAGCAGGAAAAACGGCCCCCCCCAGGGGGGCTCCCCCCTGCCTCCTGGAGCCCCAGCATGTTTCCCACAGACACCCCCACAAGACCTCCTGCTGGTTGAGACTTCTGGCCCAGGCTCGCCTGCCCCACCTCTCCTCCACGACCATGCGGAGAGCCAACCCTGACCGTGGGCCCCCAGCTGGCACTGGTTGTCATGTCAGAAAGCCAAGGCTCGCGGTTCAGCAGCCCGGCGTGGGGGACACACATGGCTACGTCCCCCTCCTGCAGCGCTCTCTCTGCCTTCTGGCCCCACCTGCCCCTCCCTTCTCCAGCTCCCCAGGGATCTCCATGGGCCTTTGTTCCCCATCTTAGTGGGGAGTGTCCTGCTGGCAGTGCAAGGTTCCAGGAGGACTTCCCTGTGTGGAACTGCAGACCAGCGCGGGGTGGTGGTGTTCTCAGTAGGCTGCAGGCAGAAGCACCGGGGCCAGCACTCCGTGGGGGCCTCACCCTTTACGTGTCCCCAGCTACTCCTGAGGGAGGCCTGATCATTGACCCATGTCCCCAGTGAGGTGAACCGCACACCCAAGGTCACACCATGGCCAGTGGCGGAGCTGGGACCACATCTGGGCCTGATTCTCCTGCCATTCCACACCCAGCAATTGGGGTCTGTGAGTAGCCTCCTGCCTCATGTGGGTGCTGGTTCCTCCCTCACCTCCAGTGGAGCAGGAGTGGGGAGGGTACCCACTTTACAGATAGGAAGACTGAGGCTGAGAAAAGGAGCAGCCAGTCCCCACTGCCTGCCCCATCACGGGACCCACCCCACAGCCTATAGGGATGAGCTGCTTGTCCTCATTCTACAGACAAAGACACTGTTGGAGGGGGCCAGGTGGTGTGGCCCCACCTCTCTGAGCCCTGGCCTGGGGTCCTGCTCACCACGGTGAGAGTGGGAAACCTACACCCTTACCTCAGTTCTCCAGCCTAGCAGCTGAGGAAGGTGACCCACCACAGAACCCCTCACCCAGAGGATTCTCGTTGTGGAGACCACCAGCCACTGGGGACAGAGCCTTCATGAGGTCACCCTGGGTCAGCTGTGGGGTGGGCACATGCTTACCCTGAGCTGGACCAAGTGGCAGACTCCGGGGCGTGCCAGGGGCTGGCCTGTGTTTCACGGCACTGAGGCACTGACGCACTGACCTCAAGGTGTGAAGTGGGCCTTCCCCGCCCAGGTGGGTCCCAGCCCCCATCAGCCAGCTCTGCCCCAGCCTGGGGGGAGGGGGACAATCAGACAGCTCTTTGGCCTCAAGCCCAGGGCTGGGCACTGAACTAGCCCCCAGCACACGGTTCCCGGGGCTCTGCTACAGATCCGGGGGGTGGGGGGGGGGAAGCCGGCCATGGCCTGCCTGGGCACACAGGGCACCTGTGCCTGGAGTGGAAGAGACAGACGCCGCTGTGCTCACAGGAACACGCGGTCATGCGAACAGAGACACACGTGCAGACGCACATGGAGTTCAGGCCGCACAGGCTCCGGGGCTGGGCTCGTAGGCTCCCTGGACGCGGGCTGCTCCTCCAGCCCTTTCCTCCCCGCCCCCGCTGAGTTCCCGCTGCCAGGCCTCCCGGCCAGGACACGTGCTCCTGTGCGCCCAGCGTGCTCCCACCGAGGCGACCACAGCGCGCGTGCTATATGCACCCGTGGCCGTGGGCGTGCGGGCGGGGGCGGATGTGCACCACAGCGTGTGCGCGCGTGTACACGGGGAAGCCTGGCACGCGTGTGCACATGCGTGTGCAAGTGTGCAGCCTTGTGGACATGAGCACGTGCACAGAAACGTGTGCAGCCTGCGGCACCACGGACACGAAGGTGGGGGAGACCAGGGGCTCACCCTCCAGGCAACGCATGCCCCACCCGCCCCCAGCCCTTCACACCAGGTAGAGGGGAAGGGTCCCGCGGGAGCCGCCAGGGAGGGGGCGCTCGAGTCCCTCCACGTCCCCTGCCCCTCCGCGCAGCCCTCAGGGGCCCTCAGGTTGCGGATGGGGGGTGCTTGCATGCACCTCTCCTCGCCCGCCCCCTGGGGGGGGGGACAGCTCTAGGTCAGCCCCGCCCCCCGCGCCCTCTACTGTCGTCGACGCCCCCATCATCCCGCTGCGTCTGACCCGAGAAAAACCAGAGGTCCTGAGCCGAGTCCGCGGGGCGCGAGGAGGGAGGCGGCTGGACACCCCCACCCCTGCTGGGTGCCCGCGTTTCTGCAGACCTGCTCGTTAACCCCTTCGCGGCCGGGCGCTCCGAAGCGGGACCCCACCCTTTCCGACAGCAGCCCCCAACCCTGGCCCCGCCGCCGGCCCCGTCGCCGCCTGAACTTTCCCGGCAAGCGGCAACTTTTCCTGCCGCCGCGGGCTCCGCCCTCCCGGGGCCGGGCGGCACTGCGGTGACCCTCCGCAGCACCCGGCAGCCCGGGCGCGCCCCGCGGCTCGGGGAGGGGCGCCCCGATGCCGCGCGAGGCCGGCCCGGGCGCGGCACTCACCTCTGGCGGACGCCCTCTTCATCGTAGGGGTCGGGCGGGGCGCGTCGGGAACCGAAAGTCGCTCCGGGGCCGGCGCCCGTCCGCCCGCGGCCGGGTCCGCATCCAGGCGCCGCCGCTCCGGCCCGGCCCCGGCCCGGCCGCGGGACGAGGCTGCGCGCTCCGCCCGGTCGGCTGGGCTGCGGGCGACGGCGCGGAGGCGAGGGCGGCGGGCCGGGAGCCGATGAATGTTTTATGGGATCATGTGGTTTGACGCGCGAGCGCTCCGCCGGGTCCCCGCCGGCCGGGCCGGGCGGGGCGGGCCGGGGGCGGGCTGGGGCGGGGCCTGGCGGCGGGCGGGGCGCCCACCTGCACGCGCCGGGCCGGGCCGGGCCGGGCCGGGTCGGGCAGGGGCGGACCGGGGCGTGGGCCGGGGACGCGGGCTGGGAGGCAGGGAGGCGCTCGGCCCGCCCGGTGCAGCGGCGCCGCGCGGCCCGGACAAAGGCGGCGCTTTTCTGAAGAGGCGGCGGCCCCTGCAGGCGGTCGCGGGGATGGCGGCTCGGCTGAGCCGGCTGGGGGTTCAGGTCGAGGGCGTGGCGGCCCGGGCTCGGGGCGTTTGGGGTTCCCCGAGGGCCTAGCTGCCCCGCAGGGCTTTGTCCGCAGGCCGGGGAACACGGGGTACGCCTCGGCGTGGCCTACGCCCTTCCTCGCTTCAATAAACCCCGGAGGCCAACCCCCTCCGCCAGCAGCCCTTTGCTGGGGGAGCCTTGCTCCATTTCCCAGTTGTAAAACAGGCTCGAAGCTTCGCCGAAGTCCTAGGGCCCCACCTGTCTTTGTGACCCAGGGAGGGGGCTCAGGCTCAGGCCTGCCCCTACCTCCACAGGTGTCTGCTCCCCCCTCCCCATCCCCTCCCGTGGATGTCCTTTCCTGCCCAGGAGCTCCTCTTCAGAGCCCACTTGCTTGGTGCCCCCCAAACCTGCACAGAGTCAGGCTAGACTCTAGGGCCAGAGAACCCAGTGACGCACTCTCACATTCCGGGGTCACCTGCACAGCTGTCCCGCCTTCCTCTGCTGGGGGGAGCTCTCCTGATTCTTCAGCCAGCCCCCCGGGTTAGCATCCCTGCAGGCCGCCCTAGGGCCAGGTGGATGGGGACTGGCTGGCAGGGGGTCCCTGGGATCCTGTGCTCAGGGTGGCCTTGGGTCCTCCCTGTGGCTGGAGCATCCTGGCTGAGGGCTTGGGAGTCCCCCTGGGGACCCAGCTAGTGTTCCCCAGAGGCTGAGGGGCTGATGACTGGGAGGCCCAGCACGTTCTGCCTCCACATCAGACCTGCCTCCCTCCTGACTGCACAGGTGGCCTGGGCGAGGTTGGCAGAGCACAGGGGAGCAAGGCCTGCTGGCCTCCCAAGGGCAGGTGGGGCCTCTCTGAGTCCAGTGTTCCTGTCTGCACACAGAGTCGCAGGCAGCCTCATGGGCTGGACACCACTGCTGGTGCCTGAACCCCTCTGGCTGCTGCATGTGGCACCGACCTTTGCCTGCTGCACCCCAGTCACCCTTGTCCCAGGCTTGGCTTACCAGGTCATTGTGGAGCACACTCAATTCCCAGACACATGGGAGGTAAGCGGGAGTCAGGACCCCTAGCCTTGGTGCCTTTGGGCCTGCCCCCAGCCACGCACACACAGTTGTCTCCCCAGTGGATGCTGGGTGCCACCAGTGACTCCTGCTGCCGCGCAGTGGCGTGTCCCCCACTGTACAGGCGGGAAACCTGAAGTTGGGCTCACAGGGTTGGCAAGAGGCAGAGGCTTGTCCCTGGTGTCAGCCCTTCCCCCATGGCCCCTGCATGTGGCAACAGCTCCCAGACTGGAAAGTTCTCCCCTCAGGCCCACCTGAGACCAGAGGACTGGCCATGTGACACTCAGTGGCCGTCATTCTGAGGTTAGGGCGAGTGTGGACCTCGACTCCGTGCTCCTGGGTGGCTGTAACTATCTAGATCCCCAGGTGGGCCCACCACTGCTAAAGCTTGTACCCCGCCTGCCTATAGATTCGAAACCCTTCCTGGCAGCAATAGGGGTCACCCATTCTGGGACCACACGTTTTACCCACCGAGCTCGGATGTTCTGGCTCTTCTGGCCTGGGGCTTGGGCCTACCATGCAGCCAAAGATCTGTGTGGTGGGAGTGGGCTGAGGCCTGCAAGCCACTGCGGACTGCAGGAAAGGTCCTGTGTCTCCCAGGTCAGCACCACGGCCAGCGCCCTCCTCGTGGGCTGCCGAGCCTGGGAGATGACCCTTGTGTGGGGGCCATGGGTGTTGGCTGGGGAGCTGGGAGATGGGTGTGGAACCGCAGGGAGAGGGGGTGCTGGACAGGGCTGGGTGGCAGGTCAGCCCACCTCCAGCAGGAGGCTGGGGGTGTGGAATGTGGTGAGGGTGTGGGTACAAAGCCTGGGGGATGTGCTGCAACCTCTGGGGGTCAGTAACTGGGGTGGGAGCTGGAGACGCCATGGGAAGAGCCTGGTCGCACTCTGTGGACCAGCCACTGGGCTGCCCAGTGGGGATGAAGAGATGATGGGCCGTGGTCCAGGCCACACCGATGTGAGCTGCCCAGGCTTTCTGGACACGTGTCTCTGGGGCCTGGAGGCTGCGGACACCTTGCCTCTCAGGGCTGTGCAGCTTGTCACCCCACCTGGGCTGAGCTTCTGCCTGAGCTGGCCCCGCAGCCACCACACACAGGGAATGGCCTCTGTCAGCTCTCCCGCTCCGCCCCTCTGGTGAGGCCACATTCCTGGCTGCCTCACCTCCACCCCGTCCTGGGGACCAGCCGCCAAGATCAGCCTGTCAGGCAGGAGAGGCTGTGTGACCTCAGCCCAGGCCCTGGCCTCGCTGAGGACGGGGCAGCAGGTGGACGAGGTGGACACTGATGCCTTCTGGCCTCCATCCCTGAGAGGGCACGTGAGAGCCTCCCTCAAGCCTCCAGGTCCTCTGGCACAATCCAGCCTGGACCAGGGGAACCTTCCATCGTGGCTGGTACTGGGTGATGGGTTTGAACCTGCTCGGAAGCACCCAGGGGCTGTGTTCCATCCTGCAGAGACAGTCTTGCGGTGGCTTTGCTCGGCGGCTGGTGTGGGACTCATGGGCATGTGGTCCCCTGACGGCCATCTAGGGAGGGATGGGAGCACGGGCGTGGTTTCTGCTGCACGCACGTCAGGCCACCCAGGGTCACCCAAGGAAGGACCTGCCCAAGTGCTGCTCCAATGTGACCCTTCCTGGCACTGAGTGGGCGGCTGGGAGTGTGATCCCCATGCCAGGGAGCTGGGGGGTGTTGGTCTGCCATCTGGCCTCTCAGTGGAGGGCAGCAGCCTGCCCGAGGCCCAGAGGAACTCTGTGTCAGGCCTGCTAAGTGCATCATCCCCTTTTGTGCTGTGGTGCGGACACCACCACCACCACCCACTTTACAGACAGGATGGTGGAGCCTTGGGGACTTGGGTAGACCCACGTCCTGGCAGCCCCTCCTGCTACTTCACCCAGATGCTCCCTGCCCCCCACCCCAGCCCAAGGGCTGCAGAGGGTGGTCTGGCTCCTGTCACCATCAGCCCTGTGCCCCTGAGGAGCCCCTCTGCTCAGCTTTGCTGATATTAGGCCACCATTAATCCACTTCCTCATCTCTTATTCATCAAAGACACACGCAGCAGCTGCTGGGGCCACGCAGGGAAGGGGTGACAGCCTGACCCTCGGCAGCCGCATCCTCTGCATCCCACTGGGCCTGCCCTGCTCCGAACGCCTCCAACCTCCGCAGCAGTCAGAGGCCTCCTTCCACAGGGCAGCCTCAGGGGTTCACCCTGCAGGGAGTGCTCCTCCCACCCACGGGAGGTGTGTGTGTGACACCATGGTGGTCCTCATGCAGCCCCAGTCCCCAGTCCCGTGGCCAGTCTCCAGGATGGGAGCCTGGGCCCGGGAAGGGGCTGTGTGGAGTCGTGGCCCTGGCCCCTGCCCTCCCGCCTCCCACCACCCCCACCCCAACCCCTTCTCCTGCCCTTTCTCCTGACTCCCAGGCTGGGCTGAGTCCCCAGGGCTCCCTGCGGGCAGGCACAGCATCCCGTCTCAGGGAGTGTAGGTGGCTGGTCCCTGCCTGGGCTCCAGCTGGGGCTGGGCTGGGGCCTGAGTAGGACACTCCTGGTCCCCGGGGAGCCTGGAATCTGTGCAGGGGCCTCGCTCTGGAAGGCAGGGTCCCCAGGCTTCGCCCCAGGCGGCAGCGCTTGATTCGCGCCCCTCCCCCACGCCTGCAGGGAATGCGGATCCTTCCAGAGCCACCCACCCGGCAGTGACAGCTAAATTGGGAGCCGCTGTTCACACCAGGAGCCCGATGTGCTGCGGTCAAAACCGGGTCGGGGGAGGGGGCGCTGGGTCCACAAGCACCCAGCAGGCTGGGGGAGGTGGCCAGGGCTGCCAGGTGGGGTGGGTGGGCAGGAGCGGAGGGCAGGTTGGGCCGTGCAGACCCGCCCGGAGCCACAGGGAGAGGCTCCTGTGGGCTGACCCTGGCTGAGCGAGCACCCAGTGCCGCTTTTTCTGGGGCTCCCTGGACCCTAAGACCTTCTCTGGGCTGCTGCGGTCCACGGGGCGTGCAGACTGACCCCATCCCCCGGGTGGGGGGCTGAGGGCAGGGTAGGGCCAGTCCAGCTGGAGCTCAGCGCTCTTCCCTGGAGTGTGCTGTGGAGCCCCTGGCCGTCCTCCCCTCAATGGCTTCATCCGCTCGCCTTTCAGTCATTTAGTCATTCAGCAAACACACTGAAGGCCCACTCCAGATACTCTTAAGTCTCTCCAGACTCAGGTCCTCACACTCTCACAGGATACAGATGGGGAGGTTGAGTTCTGGAGGGAAAGCCTTGTCCTGGGGTCACTTCTGTACTGAGGCGTCACCCAGAAGCCCACAGGGACTGATGCCCAATGGAGCAGGCAGTTGAAGCAGAGACAGCTTGGGATTCACCCACCGCCCTGACACCCTGCTTGGGGGCTCAGCCTGAGGTCCCGAGGCCCTGCCCCCAGCAAATGGCTCTTC